TGGTTTCCTTTAGAGATTGTATAATATCTTGTACTGACTTTTTGGCTTTTTTTTGCATTAGGCCTTTGATGATTTTGAATCTGCTTGCTATTTTTTTTTCTTTTAAAGTACCCTATAAAAGCTTTTTAAGTTCTTTTTTACTTGTCTTTCTTTAAGTTTCTTTTGCAAGTACTGTCTAAGCCAGATTAATTGACATATTATTAGTATCATTCTACTCTTTTTTATGCTTACTGCATGTTGCTAGATGGTCTTGATCCTTTTTATGGTCTTTATTATACAGTATGCAAGTTGCATTTTTGTATAAATTTGGTTATCTTATATAATAATTAATCAATATATATTAATTATTTTTAATTGATATATAGGACCCCTATAGCAAAAAGTAGCATTGGGCCAACTAATCAAAATTCGAAATTTTGTATTAGTTATTTGCTTATAAGGCTTGTCTATTTGAAATTTTTTTTTTTTTTACAAAAATATTAGTAAAATGTATGTATATACATATTTTTTCTTCATTATTATAAAAAATTGATTTATGCACTACAGTACTTACATTGATTTGCATATATACGTAATAGTATAGTATTTTCAACTTATTAGTTATATCGATCTGCACATAATACATAATAGTACAGTATTTTCATTGTTCTGTAGACATGTTTAACCTGCTTATATAATGTGTATAACCTGATGTTTGATAGAGCCTGATTAAAATGTCTGTATATCAATAATTTTTTACTAGCTATTTATATATAGCGATAAAACAATTTGCACATGTGCGAATATAAAAAGCAATAATGACAATGAAGTTTACTTCTTGAAAGTATAAAATATAATATACATTCTGAAGATAATAGTATAAATAAAGCTATTTTGGCTTCTTTAAAAGATTTAGATAGTACTTTTTTTGTTGAATATTCAGATTCCAAAGATGAAGATGAATTTAAATCTATATCAAATGATGAATTAGAATCTGATAATGATATTCCTTCAAATAAATTGAATGAATTTAAATTTATAGATGTTCCTAATAGCTATATTGAGGATAAAATTTATGATGACCTGAAATCGAAAGTTAAACAATTTTTTGAAAAAAGAAAGTATTTATATTATTCTAAACAATCTTGTTTTAGTCAAATTGGTTATGAAAAATTTCTTGCACATTGGGCTGAATTCGAAAGTTTAGATAAAAATATGAGGGATATGGTTATTAAAAGGCAACTCGCAGCTTTTCAAAAAAATGAAGATACAAGAAAAGTTGCTAATGATAATAGAAAACACGTATGCTTTAGATATTGTTATAATAATGATGTTTCTGTTTGTTTTAATGCATATTTAACTCTTGTTGGAGTTAGTCATACATATTTAGATAACATAAAACAGCATTTACAAGAGCATAAATTTGAAGAATGTAGACATAGAAACACTGATAGAGCCCTAAAAATATAAACCGTATTGAGGTTAATTATGAAATAGCATGTGATTTATATAAGTTTTTAAAAAACTATTCTAACATACACAGTATGCCCTTACCTAAACATCATTGTAACAAAATTTCTATGCCGATTGTATTTCTTCCAACTAGTTTTAATTATGCTTCAGTATATCGGGATTATGTTCAAGCTTATAAAGATAAGTATGGGAGTGATGCTCGTATTATGTCTGAATCAACTTTTACCAATATCTGGAAATCATTAATCTCATCTCTTTAATTTATGTCTGCAAAGTCTGATTTATGTGAAACTTGTGAAATAATGAAAATAAATATTCAATACACTATGCAGTATGAAAAAAAATTAGAACTAACTAATAATTATTTGGCATATTTAAATCATGCACAAGAAGAACGTGACTATTATAATGTTAATATTGTAAAAGCTACTGAAGATGGTAAACATAATTCAAATATAGTTAAATCTCAAAAATCATTTAAAATCTTTAATAGGTGTGCACATATTGCATATAATTAGACCCAAAATGTGCAAATACCTTATTCACCATAGCAAATAAGAGCCTTATATTTTAAAAGTTCTCGAAAAGTTCACTTATTTGTTGTTTGCAATACTAGTAATTTTTCATACATATAACAAATAAACTACATAATCGATGAAGCTGAAATGCCTGATGATAGAAAGCAAGAAAAAGAGTGTAAACTGTACTTTAAGTTTAGTTTGGCATGCAATTCAAAAATATAATCATAGAGAAAAGAAACTTATCATTGCATATAATAATTGTACAGGCCAGAACAAAAATAACTATTCATTGTTTTTTATTCATAGTTAATAGATCGTGGTATGTACGATGAAATTGAGTTAAACTTTATGATACCTGGACACACAAAGTTTATTTGTAATAGTTGTTTTGGTCTAATCAAGATTCTCTACTGAAAAAGTAAAGTAAATACAGTAGATGATATGACCTCGATTGTTAATCATTCTATAACAGTTAATTTCAATGTTGCTCAGCATTATTTTAATAGACAAGGCTTTCAATATTATGATTTTAAAAATTATTTTTATATATTTAAAAAATTACCTAACATTTAAAAATATCACCACTTTTATTTTACATCACAGCATCCTGAGGTCATCTCTTATAAAGATAACCTTAAAGATAATTACTCAAATTTCACAGTTTGTTCTTTTTCTTTTAATGTTAATATCTTATCCTCTATACTTGGTGTCAGGCCACTTTTCTTAAAAAGACAAAAGGAGCTATATAAAAAAATTGCACCTACATCGATCTATCTTTTCGTGACATTACCTGTCCTCAACCAAAGGTTTAAAAATAAATAACTCATTATGATGTGAGTTGTGTAAAATTTATAGTTTAGCACAAAACAATTTCGATTATAAAACAAATTTAGTTTATTTAAAACTTGGCATAAAATGAGTTCAATCTATATTCAGTTTGACAATGAATTAAATAACTTGATTAACTTTGAAAACTAAATTCCAGAATCAACTTAATTTGATTTGTCAAATTGAAAAACTTTCAAAAAATAAAATAAAATAAGTAGAATGGTAAAGACTTAAAAACCAGATTTTTATAATAAATAAGTAATTGTTACAGTAATAACGAATGAGAATTTCTAAAATAAAAGAACCTAAAATTGTTATCTATTTATCGAAAATGATGCTAAAATAAATAAATAAATTGATACTAGTAAGTGAAGATATGAAGTTCAAATTTATAATTTTACATATTTAGAAAAATAAATAAGAAACTAAGTTCTTTAAAAAAATTTTTATAGATAGGACAGTAAAATCAGTAAAATTCAGAAGTTGAGAAATTAACTGTAGATCACATGGCAATTTTAAAATGCAATTTTCTTATGATCATGTGATTGTTCCAATGCATCTTTTTGCTGTGAGAGATTCCATATATTGATTTAATACTATATATTGATATATATCTGCTTAAAAATTTTGCTGATAAAGCTGTAATTATTTTAAGCTGTTTTTTATAAAAAAGGTTTAAGATGTACTTAATTGTCATTCTGAGTATTTTAACTCTTTGTAGGACTAGCTTAAGACTTTTAAGTAAAACTAAGTTAAATGCCTTTTTTATATCTTGTAGAAGTATCTATATTTCTTTATTTTTTTTTCTTGTCTCTTTCATTATTATGTTTAGAATATGTACTGGTTGTTCTGTTAAGTTTTCAATAGATTTGCATAGTTTGATTTTTTAAATATTTTTTTCTCAATGAATATTTTGCTAAGCTTTTTTGTTATTAACTTCATTACAATCTTTTTAAATATTTTAATTAGTGCTTTGGTCAAATATTGTTTAAATTGTATCTCTATTTTATGTTTTTTAGTATTGGATATACTTGTACTATTTTTTATTTTATTGATATTTTTTCTGTCTTTAAACATAAGTTTGTATAGATTCTAAAAACCTTTTGTGTTTTTCTTCCTACTCATTTAATTAGAATATAGCTTATTTTTGATATTTCTAAAACTGTTTCTATTTTAAACTTCTTAATTATTTTATTCTATTCTTCTTTTTTAATTTTCTTTTTGATTTCTTTATATCATTCTTTTTTAATATAATTATGTGTTTTATAGATTTTTTTCAGCTTTCTGATATTTTTTTATTTTTATATTTTTTTTTCTAAATTGTTTTTTATAATATTCTATTGTTGCTTCTTTAACTAGTTCTGACTTTATCACTAGTATAGTTTTTTTCTATTTGTTCAATTATTTTATCAAGTATTAACTTCTTATATAGCTTGTTCAAAAGACTAGCTATTATTTTTTTTTGATTGGTTTTGATCATTTTATGTTTTTTGTTTATGTTATCTTCTATTTGTCTTTGTTTTTGTTTCTATTTTTTTTTTTTTTCTTTTGAAAAATTTTCTGCCAGCCTTTTATGTCCTCTATTCAAGCATTAAACTTATTGTCTTTGGAGTTTTAATAGTTTTGCACTGATTTTCTTGATTAACATTTTGAGTTTTTTAATTATTTTTGTAACTTTAGTGTATAACTTTCTTACTCTTCTTCTTTTGTCTTATTATAAAAATATGTTGTTCTTAATTGGCTTTTTTTTTTGATTTCTGTCTTGTTATTTTTTGTTATCATATTTTTTATTCATCTTTTTGCTATTACTATTTTGTAATCACTTTTAGTAATTTCTTCTATGTTCTTAATTTCTGCACTTTGTAGACCTGAAGCTAGTCCTTCTGATATTCATATATAGTCAATTCTTGTTGCTATTTCTAAATTTGATTATATGTATTTTTATTTAGTTAGATGTATTTCTTTATATGTATCATAAAAGTCTTGTCTTTTTATTTAACTAAATATTAGTAATCTTTTGTAGCTTGCAGCTTGTAGGTTCTGTCTATCTAAAATATTATTTGTCATATAATTAAAGTTTCTTATAATTACTATTTGAATTTGTCTATTTTTTTTATAATAATTTCTACTAATTTTTGTTTAATGCTTCTTTTTACTTCTTTGTTACTTGGTAGTATATAAACTTTTATTATTATTAACTTTAATTGCTTAAAGTATAATATAATTTCTATTATGTACTTATTTATCTTTTTGTTCATGTCTACATGTTTTGCTTATTGTTCTTCTATTAGAACTCCTATATTTAACCCTTTTTTTTTGTCTTTTGCAGCACTATTTCAATATTTATTATATCTTTTTGTTGTCTTATATACTAAATATTTTCTCTTTCTTTTTATAAGATTTATTTTTGTAATCTTCAGTGTTATAATTTTCTCTTTTTTTGCTTAGCTGAGTGGATTTTCAAGCTTCCAATCTTTGGTTTTTAATCTATTAATATTGTAATATATAATTTTATTTTCTTTTTTTCTTTTTTTTACTTCTTCTTTAACTGCTCTTACACTATTTTTGTAATTTAGTCATTTTTCTTGTTTTTTTACTTATTTTTTTTTTTAGACCAGAAGGTATTGCTTTTCTTTTTTTTCAAAAATTCCTTCTTTTACTTTTTACAAAATTTCTAATCTTCTCATCTGTATTTATAGATTCAACTAAGATGCTCTTAAAAGTAATTAGCCAGACCTTCTTTATATCTAACTGCATGTTTTCTAATCAGTTTAGCCTATCTAAAATTTGGCCTAATACATTTTCTACCTAATTTGTTTTTAATTGTGTTTGTATATCTGACTTTATCTTTTATTTTGTTATATTTTTTTCTTTTCTTTCTGTGTTAGTATTTCTAACTTCTAACTATTCTTTTATATTTTGTATTTAAAGATTGTTTTTTATTTTTATATATCTTTTATTTAAAACCTAACTGGTCTGTTCTAGCTTTTCTTTTCTTCTGTTATCTTCTAACCATTCTTTTATATCTTATATTTGAAGATCACTTTTTATTTTTGCATATCTTCAGTTTGGGCTTTGATTAGTTTTTTTTTAGCTTCTTTTTTTTTTTTCTTTGAAGTTTTCTTTCTTTTTAATTTTTTTCTTTTTTTATTTAATTATGATACTTGAAAGTTGTTATATCTAATTGGTCTTAATTAAGCTGTTTTTATTTTTTTTATTTTTTTTTTGATATTAAACTAGCCTCTTTTGGGCCTAGGGTTTTATTCAGTAAATTGAACATAGGGACTTGCAGCCGAAGCCTCAAAGAAGTCACCTTACATTAGAGAGTACAACTAGCCACATGTACACTTTTGGTGTCTAATTTAAATAGTCTACCAATGGTTCTACACTAGCTGCCATACCTGCAACCCAACTAGGGGCATTGCCTATTTAAACCCTCTGCACTGCAATCCTTACTGTGTCACTAGATCATCTCCAATACAGTCATCAGTCAAGAAGGTTTAGATACTTTTACCCATTTCTCTTAGGACCCCATACCTTATTTTATGCAGTGTATCCTCAGAAGCATTATTACTAGAGCCTTCTGTGTCTTATACACAGCTGACCTAGTTTTATATAACACGCTATAGTTACCCAACACTTGCAGTTACAGGGGTTACCTATTTAACTGCTATGTTACACTATTTTTACCCTTGTAAAGTTCACCCAAACCCCGGTACCTATCATTCCAACTTCTTCTCTTTATCCCCCTACTATTCAACTTAGAATCTGACAGACTTACCAGACTTCCAATTCAGATAGCCTGGTATAGTATACTTTAGTATCCTTTTCTTTCAGTGATTCTGGCAGCCTGGTTGGTCATGTGCTCCTCTACACATCTTTCCATCTGGTTGCATGTCCACCTATTCCTTATTGGGTTTCCTGGGCTTCCATCAGTCCAATAGCACCATCAAAGGCTTATGCTACTCTTTACTTGGAAATTTCCAAGTGGGCTTCCGTCTCCTTAGTTTCTTGGTCTTCTACATCTGGTGGCCTTATCGTGGGTTTGCACCGAAGTCTTATGTGACACTAGTTATTGCTGTTTTTATTTTTTTTTCTGTTGCAAATATAATTATTGATGTTTTTCTTTAGTTTCTATTTCTATTTGGCAGAATATAAACTGATTTTGTATCTTTGCTTTTTAGACAATATAGTAGTAAAACTTCTAAAACATTACTTGGTGGTTTTGTTAATTTTGCTATATACTAACTTTGTTTTTGTCTTGGTTCATAGTTTTTTTTACCTTCTATTACTTTTATCAGTTTGTTACTTTTAACTAGTATGAACTATAAAGTAATTTCTTCTTTT